ACGCCAGCTTTGGGTCAGCGACAGTGATGTGACGAGAGGGTTATGAGCGAATCGAGAAGAGACGAAAGTGATTGGCGATGGGAGGAGCTAATTTTCTCAAGGATACTATGCTTTCGGAAGCTTTGAGACCGAATGTGACGACCTTGCTGTGGCGAGGCGAGCAGCATTCGCCAAGGCGGTGACAACCTTGTACCGCGACATCGCTTCTGCGAGGCTGAGGTGGGGCAGTGTTCACTGGACGCGCGACTAGTAGATGGCTGCAAATATCACATGCTTTGACTCAGCGCTGCGTGTTTTGTACATTGCAACCATCAGAGGTGTAGCTCTGCGGTCAGTGAATCTATAGTGAGCATCTGCTCAGAGCTTGCTAGCCATATGTGAATTGTTGTGCTAGTGTCGTGCTCCAGTGCATGTTATGGCGCGTTTCGTGAATATTTGAATTGCATTACAAGATTCGCTAGTCGTTAAATTATATGTGCGTACAGGGTATCGCTTTTGATCGTGAAAGAACTAAGATGCCGGACTCGGACTGTTGCGAGCTGGCGAAAGGAAATTCGAAGAAAGCGCAATCCGATACTTGGGGATGCGGTCGGGAGTAGGAGTAGGAGTAGGAGTAGAGGTCTTCTTGACGCCATTCAGAGGTGGATCAGCGATCTCTGCCTTCGCACTGTCGGAGGTGACCTTCGTCGGTGTGCTCTCCGTCTCGATCGTCGAGTCTTTTCTGCGCTGTTGCGGTGTCGGGGTGTCCGGCGTCAACGGCGGGCTGTCTTTCGAGGCCTGCGGTGTAATGCGCTCGCCGTTCGTCCCACCCTCTAGAACAAGATTCAGATTCGCTGGCGTGCTCGCTGTAGATGATGCAGCAACAAGGTCATCGGAAGAGCGTTTTGTCTGCGAGAAGTGTGGCGAGGTGATAATGTGAGCGTGTGGGAAGCCAAAGCCTTCGAGCTTAGCTGCCATTGCTTGGTTGTATTCTTGCAGATTGTTCGTCTCGGTAGCCGTTGTGGAGGGGATGCTGAAATCGTCATGGGTCTCATGAATGGTAGTGATTCGCGAATTGCCATTCGCGACAGCTTCGTGCGACACAGTCGGGCCCTTCCATTCGGGATGTGGTATGCGTCCGATGACATTCAGCCTGCCTGTCCCTAATTTCGCCCATTCCCAGATGCCTCGACGCGTCGGTGATCGCTGTGGTGGCTGCACCGGTCCTCCCTCTAGCTCCCTCAAGGCTTGGTCTTCAAGCTGGCTATTCTGGTGTGGGTGAGACGCGTCGTCTGAGCTTCGGCGGCGCTCTTCTAGGACTGGGCGTGACCTCTGAATCTCCGTTCCACTGCTTTGAGCCCGCTCCAGGCGTCTTCTCTCCGGCGGCGTCACTTTGCGCAGCTTTTCCCTGTCCTTCTCCCGCTCGCGAATCGCGTCGAGATTGGGTGCTTGACTGGCCACTGCCATCTCCGTCGATGTGCCAACCGTCGAGCTCGCCGGGCTTGTCAGGCGACGGCGGAGAGGACCGGCGCTTCCTTCTTGTGGGCGAGCTTGCAGGGGATGAGGCGGGCGAGGCGTCTTCGGGGGAGGAGGGCGGGGAGGGCGGTTGTGCTGGTCGGAGCTTATGTAGGGGACTGATTTGGCGGATGACAGGCCGGCTTTCTTCTTTGCTGGTTAATGGACGTTATTACGCGTTTTGACAGCAATGGGATGGCTGAAAGGGTGCTGAGAGTGGGCTTGGGAGAGGTCGGAGTCACACACCTTGCTTCCCTTTGCCCTTGCCCTTTGTGTGGCAGTTCGGGCCAGCTTCGTGGTCATGGTAGTCGCACTCATGACCCTCATCTGTTGGATCGTCGAACAGCATGCCTCCAGTGCCCGACCTGATTGCCTTGACCAGATCGATGGCGAAGTCGGGGTTGTTTTCGAAGCACTCGCGATAGGTTTCGACGTCGCGCTCACTACCAGGATCCATAATCTGGCGGGCCGCGATGCGCGTCATGAGCGTGCGGAAGGGCGACCCTGTCGGGCTCTTGCGATAGATGTCATCAATCTCGTCAGCGTCAGGTACTAGCTCGGCCTCATTTAGGCCTTTTCGGTACTGATCCATTGCGACGTTCTTCAGTTGAAGCATGTCAAAGCGATCGCACAGCAGATAGAGTCTGTGACAGCTCACAGCATACTCATACTTCTGGTTGGCGTCGGCCATGTCAGAGACATCGTCGAGGCTGCCCTGATATAGCCATTTCACCAGCAGCTCGAAGCCGGCAGGGTTGTAATCGGGAAGATCGAGGCGATCTTTCCTAGTGTGGCCGTCGGCATCGCCTAGCAGCTCGTTCTCGAGGGTTTCGGAGTGGTGGCATAGCAGATTGCGATGCAGCGACCAGTGGCGCTTGGACTCGCCTACGTAGACGTCGATCATAGGGCCGGAGAGAAGTCTATCGCGTTGCAGCTTAGCTTTGGCCCGCACATGGAGGCGATGAGAGTAGAGACGGTGGGTGAGAGCCGGGCGCACCGCGATGCATCGCGACGGCGCTTCGGGTCTTTGCGCCAGCGCCAATTGCGGTGCATCGGCAGGCGGCGCATCCTCCATGAAGTCATCCTCCTGTTCCAGCGATGTCTGCGATTGCGATGCACCCGCCTCGTCACCGTGGTCGAAGAAAGGATCGTCTACGTACTCAGCAAAAGTCGCGGCAGGCACGTCGCCAATGCTGCCAGAAGCCATCCGTGACCGTTTGGAACCCGGGATGGCAAAATCACGATGGTATTGTCGCAGAGTCTGCCACATGCAGCGCGGAGATAGCGCTCATGGATGCGCGATGGCTTATATGGGGGATAGTACGTGTCGCGATGCGGTGAGGGCTGTGAGGTGTCGTGGTGAGGTGTACCGTCCGTGTAGACGTGCTGGAGTGGAGACATCAAGGATGGCTGGGTGGCTCCTGCCCTGACGTCGTTGGCCCGCCCGGGGTAGCTTCCGCATTGCCTAGGCCCAGATCATCGCCCTCACTCCGGACCTGCAGCCAACAAACATCAACTCAACATCTGGAATCTGCTTCCCCAACACCGCATCATGGTAACATCAAATCTTGTTGTTGCGCACGATGGCTGTGCGGAAGCTCATTTTGCGTACTCTCGACATCGCCGCGCTAAGCACATGTGACGTTACCTTTTTACCATAGCTTCCCATGCTAAAGCAGTGTCGTTAAACAGGGGATGCTCTCCTTGCCGAAGAACCGCTGTTTCCGGCGACGGCAAAGTTCTGCTAATCTGAGCCTGCAATTTGGCTTTTACATATCGGTAAACAATCCGGAGAGTACATATACAAATCGACTCATTGGTTCCCTCGGCACAGATGCTACAGCCCCTCATCCTCTGCAAGACTGACCCGTGGTTCATCTCTCCACGTCCCAAACATCACCATTATATATTTCTAGCAATCTAGAGATATTTCATTTTTAACTCTACCTTCCGCCCCACCAACGTACACGTCAATCGCATCCTGTCACACCATGCCACCCATGATCAGAGACAAAACATCGTTCGACGCGATCGTCGACCCTACCTCTTCTCAGAACACCCTTTCACTCAAGCGAATCTGGAGGAAAGCAATGCCACGCGCAAATCCTTCGGCGAAGCGGTCGCCTGATGGGATTTCCAAAAAGCGAAAGCTTGCATTGTACTTGTTGCCGCGGCCTCCGATCAAGTATCTCGTCACAGACCTTGTCACAGACCCCAGGAACAGGATAGCGAAGTAACTTCAATACTGTTAAGATCGGCTCGCGATCTTCGAAGGATCATCTGAGCCAATGAGAGACACACTGCACACGCCAAGAACAGCAGCCGAGACTGCTGCCTGTTCATGTCTTCTCACACCACATCCATATTTCAACTCGACGGCATCGAACTCAATGGCCAGCTCACGGTCATTAGAACCCTCGTTCGGCTGGGAACCTTCTGATCATTTCCTTCTAGTACGTCGGATTGCACTCTACGCCTTTTAGTCAACACAGCGAGCACGAGCAAGCTCTATCGAATGCGGCTGATCTAGAGCAAAAGGAGAAATGGGATCCAGAATCATCTCTACACCAAGACGAGCAAGAACGGAACATTATCAAAGCCTGGATCCACCTCGGTGAGCGTGGCCGTTCGGTAAGATTTACCTATCCCACTTCATGGTTTCTTCCGAACTCCACTCACTGGCGCGGGTCTTGATCAGCTTTACCACGAGCGATGCGACGATATACCTCTTCCTCAACACATCCCTTCAAATCTGTCAGTCTTCGAGAAGCGCCGCAAAGTGTCAGATCCAGGCAAATGGGATCGTGCTGCTGGTGCTATATGGATCCGGACATGGTATGGCAATGAAGCATCTCATGGGCAGAATCTGGGTGAAGAGATTGTTACACGCGCAAGTGCCGACGAGGCATATTCCCGACTATGGCAGAAAGTAACGTGCTGTCCGGAACACAACTACAAGTTCGACGAAGATTTGTTTGGTCCTTTTGTGTTCGACGACAACGATGCCGCATACGGAGTGGCGGCACGGGACGCCGATGACGAGGTCGAGTTGATGGATGGTATACCACCTTTCATCTTAAATGCACTAGTCCGATGCCCCGACGCGATGGAAGGAAGCAGTGTGACTCAGATGATAGGTGAGGAGTACGAAAATACCCATCAAACGTTGCTTGTAGCGGTTGCAGACCGCGAAGCATGCGAAGAGGGATGGTTGTTGTTGATTGCACTTAACCACAAGGGCCAGGCTTTGCACCTTCGTGTCAGATGCAAAGCTGCCAATGTCTCACTGCAGTTGTACTCTTTCAGGATGGGAGGCGACCCATTGGATATCACGGAAAGCGAGGAGAATGTAGTAGATTACCTGGACGCCAATCGATCAGGCGATGGATGGGATGAAGATTGACATATTTTCAATAGCAATGGAGCGTTCTCCGGTCTTCTTATTGAGCTACAGTTTCTCAAAATGCCACTTGGCCATTACTTGGTGATCTATTCGAGGAACCCGTTTATAGGGTACTCAAAGAGAAGGACACATGCTCTCCGTTGTCCAGCCCATTCTTGACCACAATAACGCCATCCTGATGCACAATCACGATATCGTGGCTACGCCGTACCTTGGCGATAAGAGGCGAGTTGCCTGTGCGCCAAACCGATGGAACGAAAAAGTGCTTCTGGAATTGGTCGAGGACTTTGCGACCGCCTTCCCCGATCTGAACCGAGCAGACCCACCCCGTCTTGGAAAGGAAAATAAGATGCCACCAATCGAACTTTTTCACAGTACCAATGATTCTCTCCACATCGGGTATATCGGCTACATCTCTAATGGAAGACCAGCGAGTATAGGATTTGCTACGACCGCCTCCGAAAGGATATGTGAATGGGGCATTGGGCGTAGCCGTTGGCGATGGAGAAATACCTAGGGTTGAAGATGGCTTGGGGTTCAAGAAGACAAGAGACTGTGCCGCGTTGTCAATTGACATGTCAGGCGACGACGAGCCTCCGATATCAGTCGACTCGGGATCCAGAGTAGTCAGATCAAAGACGCGTATCTTGGTCATCATAGCGTCATTGGACTGAGGTCGCAGGCCCGGTACACTCTGCTGCACGGTTTGCGATCGCTGCAGAATGACCAGGTCATCGCCTTCGCTTGAGACAGAAATGGCATCCGCGTCGGCTTGTTCCCCGGACATGCGCCTCTCCATCTCGATCGGCACCACGGGGTTCTCAGAGGCAGCGATCTGGTGAAGGTCCTCCCATCTGAAAAGCCGCAGGATCTTATCCTCGAAGAGAAGCAGTTGTGACGGAGCGGATGGCCGAACAAACCATTTCCAAGATATGCGCTCGCGCCTGTCAAGCGACGCTACTTGCTTCTTGGTCGATAATGACCATATAGAGTCCGCCTCTGATGAGGAAACAAGTACGAACGAGCCCTCAGGGTGGACGAGGATCTGGCGTATGATGCAGCCTTGGCCTAACCTCGACTGGATCATCATCTCAGCACTCCATTCCCTCCGCGTGCCAGTCGTGATTTTCATGATGCAAAACTTTCCTGCTGAGTCTGCACTCGCTATCACTCGCGCTCTGGGACTCCAGTCCATGCATGTAATACTAATGAAGGAACCTCCATGCTTGTATAGCTTGCGCATGGTGTCTTCGGGGTCGTCGAGGTTGCAGGTATCGACACGTCCGTCGTTGCGCCCGCAGAAAGCCATACCACTTTGATCGCAACAGTGCAGCGTGGTTATAATAGCAGACTCGTTGACAACAGATTCAACAATGTCGTCTACTATTTGGTGCACAGATTCGCTAGGCTCGCTGGAGAGAGCTTCAGTGTCTTGCCCGAAGAGGACGAGTGGCTCCCAGACATTGGCTTGCGTACCCCGCGAATCCACGATGCGCAGGCTGTCGCTAGTGAAGGCGAGCGACGATACCGGATCTCCTTGTATATGTATGTTGTGAAGAGGTTGGAGCGTCTCGAAATCGAAAATCTTGATCCCGCCATTGCCGTCGCTTCCGGCAAAGGTCTTTTCATTACAAGACATAGCTATCTTCGTAACGCATGTCGCAGTTGTGAGGAGCGGCTTGCAAGTCCTACTATCGAACTTGACCAGGATATCGTCCCAATATGACACCAGAAGTCGTGGGTTTGCAGAGCTGGTATTGAAGACTAGACAGTTGACGGTGTGGCCTCCCTTGTCATTCTTGTGCGTTGCCGGTCTCAAGCAAGCCCCGATACGGTGCTGCTTGTCCAGAGACCACAGCTGTACCGGCTTGCTTCGATAGACTATCGCAAGTGTTTGTTGTTCTGTAGATAGCCTGGCCGCAGATGGAGATGGTGCAAAGCCTGAGTCTGTGTCTTCAGAGAAAGCGTCAATCCAGGGGACCTGGTGTAGCGGTGAGCCATCGGAAATTCTGTAAGTCAGAACATGCTTGTCTCTGGTCGCTATTGTAACCGACGTTTCTGTCTCGTCGAAAGTCAAAGCTAGGGTTTGCGAATCGGTAGCGATGTGGAAGAGTTGAACGCCAGTCGCCGCATCCCATAGTCTTAGAAACCGCAAACCAGCTGAGGCGATGACTTTGGATGTGGAACCAAACTCCAGAACTGATACTGATTCTTCATGTCTCATACTCAGGAGGTGTTCGCACGTGGAGGTTCGATAGACATTGACCAAGCCGTCAGCCAACCCAACAGCGAATCGTTCGTCTCGAGAAGCAGCCACTGTCGCGTAGGTGTCATGATATGAGATGGAGCATATCCTATCCCCCCAACCTGCGTTCCACGCGCCTACTAGCTTGATGCCATCCTCAGCATATCCGAAGTGCCGGTATACAGCAGAGTCTCGAGGACAAAACGGCGGCACGAGTGTGTGGATGGCAGCGGGATCGCTCAGAAGATTGACGCCGAACTGTGTTACCAACCTAGGTAAGTCGACGGCCCAGGCATGGAGATCGCTTTGCAATAACGGAACATGCTCCATCCTGCGGTTGAGGTAGTTCGACAGGTGTCTTGAAGTTCGATTAAGACAGTCCAAATCTTTGAGATGGGCCACGTGCTCGATCCAGGAAAGCACGTTTGTTCTGAAGAACTTGTCTAACGTGTTGAACAGTTCGTTGGACTGGGAGGATGCTCGAAGAATGTGTTCGCTGAACCGTAAACATACGTAGTCAGTCATTGAAGTCTTGCTGTGCCCGCTCGTAGTGGAGCTACGCCGTCTCCTTGAATAACTCAATTCATCGCTCATCAGATGATTGAGGCAAGCCGATGCAATAAGACTGTGTCCTTCGGCATAGTCAATTCGAAAGTCTGAGTTCAGATCCGGATGAGTGAGAAAAGTGCGGGCTGTTTCGTGAACTAGCTGTACCCGCGACTGCACATCAATATCGAGGAAGTATCCACAGAGATATTGGAGACTGGTTCGTAGATCGCGTGCTATAGGACTTCCCAGAGTCAGCCTGATAGCATCCTTCATCTGGTTGACGGTCAAGGGATGCACAGCGCAGATGGCCCATGTAATTGTATGCTTTGCTGCGCTCTTTGACCTCAGGGACTCCATTTTCCGGATGTTGTGCGTGTATAGGTCATCCATTTCTTGAGGAATCTCGCATAGAACCTCGTGAACTTCTCCGACAGTGAAAACTTCCCGAAGCTGTTTAGTCACTAGCACGGTCCACAAGAAGCTACCGCCAGACATGCGAACAATCTTGTCAACCAATCTTTCTCTTTCTTGAGTTGTATCAACGGGGAAGGCGGCGGACCATTTCTGGACGTACGAGGAGATATCGGGCAACAAATCCTCTGGCGATATGTATTCTTGCACCAGAGGAAGCTGCACGAACAAATCATCCAATGCGGGATCTGGTCGACTGGTGACGAAGATCTTCAGTGGGATGTTTTCGTCGATCTTGGACAGTAGACTGAAACATTCATTTAATGTGCCCCTGTCGGCTGCCTCGTCTAATGCATCAACCACCCAATAATGACTGCAGCGGTTGTGTGAGTTCCGCCCTGCATAGGAGCTGCAAAACACTTACGGGGTAGGGAATGTAACGTGAAACACACAGCTCGTGAAAACAGTGTTCCAGATGGTTCTCTGGTTGCGAGCATCGATGGGTGGACCTTTCTGTGAAAGCCGGAAAATCGCGCTACGAACGACAGGGTTGATCTGAGCCATCTGTAGCGCCATGGAGCGTAGAAAGCTGCTCACGTTGTTGTCGGTCTTATCACCTTTGTTGAAGAAGTAGTGACATACGGGGCTGTCTTGTAAGAACTCAATAACATAACTTGCGAGCATTGACTTCCCCGACGCCGGTGTCCCCTTCAGCCAGAAATAGCGAGGTGCTGGTGGCGACCGCCACTCCCGAAAACTGGTTCTGTTAGTGAGCCAGGAACCTGATCCAGTCATTCTTGTGTTATTGAGGGTTGAAAGCCTTTTGTCGTCTGATGCATCGATGGAGAGGTACTTAGCGATCTCCTCCATCTCGTTCGCCCTACTTTGATACAGCTCTGGTAAAGATAGCAGTACCGATGCATCGGGAGTTTTGATACCAATCTCCATACTTGAGAAATTCGATGGTGTTGTTTGCTTCTGCATTTCGAGCCTTATCTGATCGATTGTTGATGCCAGACGGTTTCTTAGAGACCTGTAATTTGAGTCCAATGTAGTCTCGAACTTGGCTAGATCGCGATGGTTCGCATTTAACAACTGGATGCGTTCTTCAGCGTAACCTATGACGGTCAGTATTAGATCCATGGCTATTATCGGCTAGCAGACCTAGAGTAGCGGATTCTTGATCGACGATCATTCCAACAGGAGGTGTGGGCTGAGACTCGTAGAATGTGTGCAAATGTATTCCCGCATAATGAATACGGAAGGAGTCGCTCAGAATACGTATGCTCTCTGACTTAGCTTGCAAACTGGATACGTACGCTCTTCGTCCACTTCCAGACAGGCGAAGGAAATTGTTTAAAACACCAGCGAGATTCGAGCCTCGGTGGGGAGTACCCAGGAAATACAACGAATGTAATCGGTTAGCGATGTCGCTGTAATCCGGATTAGTCTTAGATAAGACGCATGCTTTCTTGATCACTAAACCACCCATGCTGTGCCCTACAAGGATAATGCGACTATCCAGATTATTGATCTTTGGATCGCTCCTCAGGTCTTCGACTAAAGACTGACCGAAAGCATGGATGTCGACCGGACTCTTCAGCCAGGTGGCCCAATTCGCGTTGTATCCAAAGCTGTGGATACGGACTCCTTTGAAGTCTGGGTCTTTAGGTAACCACTCTTTTGGCCAAAAGTAATCGGCGTCTTGCTTGAGACACCATGTTGTGCTGGAACCACCGCCGAGACCATGCACAAAAACAAGGTCTGCGATGACTGCCGAAGTTTCGTCCGGTTCGTACACAGTATTTAGGCCAAATTCGTTCCGTGGCTTCTCGACTTTGGTCGTTGGTTTGCGACTAGAGAACGATTTGAAGCTGAATCTTCGGCCTATAGATGAGCCGAAAGATGCGATGCTGGCACTGCTGGTCTTCGCAGTTTTCCGCTTTTCGATGCTCTTATCGATGTCGGGGAGATCGCTGACATCCTGTAACATTGAATCAGTCGTTCATTTGAGACTAAAAGCTGTGGGCCTCTTACGTCATCCATCGCATGGACTTGATTAGAGAAAGTCGAGTTATCGTGCTGCCTGGACAAACAATGAGAACAGGTGGGTCTCTGAAGATGTGGAGCTGGCGAGATTGAGTGGAGTTGGAGATGAAAACAGGTCGCTAGAAGGTCAGGCTAGTGTACATGGGGCAATGCAGAGTCAGACTCTTCCCAAAAATGCAACCAATTAACCTATAAAGACATAACAAGATACGACAGCGGAGTGGAAATGGGTTTCAGCAAACAGCCGCAAAAGCAATGATGTTCCAAGCCACAGCCTGGTAGTGGGTCAGACCAATTGGTCAGCGCAACGATGTGTTGTCGCCTTCCTAATCGCGTGCAATCGAGGCGATACGAATGCGCATGAGTGGCGTGTGCCGGTGAGCGCCTGCAGAGCAGAGGACATTGGGTGGCAGCTGGGCAGCCATTCCTTCTCACCCGCATCCTGCATCCCTCACTGGCCAACCAATCGGGTTTAAAGCTCTATGTAACACCCGCTCTGTGGAACCTCGCCCCAAATAACGACCCCGCCGATGTCTCTCTTCATCCAGATTTAATACTCACTCAACCTTGTAAGGCCAAATCTTCTAGTCAGTGCCAGCCTTAAAACTATTGTCGACCCACATAGACCATCTCGAACTCGCTTCAAAGCATGACGGAAATTACGTGGATACCAGAGCCAACGAAACAACTTACGTCGCAGGCTATTGATGTAGACCAAGCCATCGTTGAACGTAAGTAAATCTCCCGAGTGCTGACAAGAACTGGACTGATCGCCACCAAGAGTTACCGCCGGGATGCAAAGTGATGGGAGCAAAATCACACGGCGCTAGCTTCTGGACACGCACTGCGCGTATCGATGTTCAACTAGCCGATGGAACCCCCAAGAAGTATTTCCTGAAGGTCTCCAGTGGGGAATTAGGCATGAGTATGCTAAGAGGAGAATACTATGGCGTCAAAACCTTGCATGAGTACACTCCAGGTACGCGACCTAGGTAGATGAACACTGACACAGCTCTGACTTTGAACATCGGTCTTTAGAAGGAATCCCACGTGCCATTGCTTGGGGCACATACGTATCTGATCCAAGCAAGCACTTCTATCTCGCTGAATTTATGGAGATGATCGAAGATCTCCCGGACATTCGTAAATTCTCTGCCATGCTTGCTAAACTCCATCACGACAGCATGGTGGACCCGAAAGCTCCGACGAAGTTCGGTTACCATGTCATGACCCACGAAGGAAGTATGTATCAGGATCTGACATGGAGTGAGACATGGGAGGAGCTCTACAGCCGCCGCTTCCAGTCCTTTGTCGACCAGGAGTTGGTATCGCAGGGCCCAAGTGAAGAGATTGAAAGACTGGTACTTGGTCTCAAAGAGAAGGTCATTCCTCGCCTTCTTCGACCCCTGAACACTCATGGTCGAAGTCTCAAACCCGTTGCACTCCATGGCAACATTTGGTGCGGTAACATGGGTACCAATGCAGCTACCGGTGACCCAGTATACTTTGACCCATCTGTATTTTGGGGTCATAATGAATGTAAGCAGCTACTCTATTGTTGAAGTTGTAATGGGACTGACGAGGTGATTTTCGATAAAAAAAAGACGATGTCGGTAGTATGGCCACCCCGCGCTACAAGCTCGGCCGGCAGTGGATGCGAGAATATCACAAGTTCTTTCCGATAACAGAACCCGAAGATGACTACGAGGATCGCAACCTTCTTTATGCTATGTAAGCAAACCAGCCAAGACCAATGTCTTTGCCGCTAACGTAACGAAGAAACGGACACTTTTGCGCCTCAGCCTTGTACTCGGACAACAGCAACTTTCGAAAGATGTACGCACCGACTATTCTTACCACGCACGGATCCACTGATATAAAGCAGGGCCATTGCGGATATGCAGCGAATTCTGGAAAAGTATCCGAACGGGTATCAGGGAGAATGAGACATGTGTTCGTAATTTCCGGCCTGTACAAACCAATGGCTGAAGACTTCCCATTTCTGCACTAAGTGTGATTTTGCATCTTACCTAGTGAACCGTCAACCCATTCCGGGCCAGTCTCCACCTTCGTCCAAATCTTAGCTCGATGAAGTAAAAGAAACCGGCAATGAGGCAAAACGAACTCATGATAACGAAGGTCCAGCCAAAACCTATAGAATCTATGAGGTATTGGAGAACGGCTATCATGACGGTAGAAAGGGCACAACGGACGATATTGGACGAAGCCTGAGCCGTTGCTGGCATGTCTTGATTGATATCAACCAGTAGAGTGTTGTTGATCTAAGACAGTTAGCGATGGGCTATCATGAACTGTAGCTGAGGGCTTTTACGTTGAAGCAAGTCTGGATAGAAAGGCCCGCAAAGAAAAGGCAGATCAGAGGTCCTGCAAGGTGCTAAGGCGTGTCAGCCAACGAATGAAACCCTTCGGGACGCCACTCTGCTCACTAGACGCTCATTGACCAGCCAGCCATAGACCAAGATGGAGGCAAAAGCACAAAAGACGGGCGCGAATGCGCTCCTCATACGAGCTTCTTCAATGGGAAAATTCAACAAATCATCCCCAGACATTTTAGTCACGGGCAAGCCATGGGCCTTCGCTACAATACGATAGTCTCGGTCTATCCACTTGCTGGAGATCAAAGTCGCAAGAATCGCGCCGACACCAAATGGAAGATATGACAGGCCGACTTGCCATCCTTTGAGATGGTAGACCTGCACAAAGGTTGTCGACAGTGATGTGTGAATGCAGCAGTAAACAGTGTACAAGAAACTTCCAGGCATAATGCTTACAGCCACGTCTTTGCGTGACAATACGCGAAGACTCATGATTGGATTCGGTATTCTCTTGACTTGAAGGGGTGGGGGCGGAGTACTCGGGCCGCGCTGGCCGTCCCATGGCCGCATGATACCTCTGATGATAGGCTCCAATAGCTTTGAAGGTTTGATACCGCCGTTCCCGATAATGCTCCGATTGGTCTCCGGTAAGGCGAGTAATAGTGTGACCAAACAAAAGCCGGACACGATGGCTAGAAATCCGAATATCCATCTCCAACCAGGACCGGAGGCAAATGCGCCACCTATGACCGGGCCCAGGCTTGGCGCGGTGGTGATCCTATCGAGTGTCAAAAGAAGCTGATCTAGAGTGTGACGCTGTGTAGCGATTTCACTCACCCAAATGAAACAGCAGATACAAAGGCCCCCCTCTCACTTGGTGCTGAGATGTCGGCGATAACACCATATGAGATGGAGAAAGCGCCTGATCTTGGTTCACAGTTGTCAGCTTGCTGCACATTCATGCTCGTCAAGAACCTGGCGGGGGCCACATGCCAGATATCCCTGCACTTTGCACCATGCGTAGCAGTAAGAGTGCCACAGCTGAGTGTTGCATTGCAAGCCCAACGTTCGCGGCGACATACAGCAGAAGGGTGACTGCGTAAACGGGTCGGCGTCCAAACATGTCAGCTGCATCTCCGACAACCGCGGGAGCGACGGCAGATACGACCAAGTAGGACGTGACGGTAAGGTTGATCATCGTAATCGACGAGTCCAGATCCTTGGCAACCATCGGAAGGGCAGGGTAATAAATGAAACTGCTCAGAGTCGAGAACCAGGCTGCCAGGGTGATCATAGCAACAATTCCGTATCGTTCGTTCTTTGTGAAAAGCGAGTATGGCACCGGTGAGTCTGCAGCTGACTCGTGCGGGTTCTGGTTTACTCCTGGTTTGTCTTGCCCGTCCGCTTCTCGGTTATCCGTATTACTTGGAGAAAACATGACGGTTGAAAAGAGAAGCTAAAGCTGATCCGTTGGGTTGAACAAGTCTGGATTCGAATGAGGTTGGTAGATCGCAGTTGGAAATCGATGACTATGCGACGTGTTTGAGAGTTAGGGTCGAGTACACCTAGGCAGTTTGCAGCTTCCGAAATTGTCTGCTCCCTGTGTAAGCTGCATGAGGGAGGTTTGAACCAAACAAATAGTGTGTCGATACCTAGTGCTTCAAACCCGCGGGCAGGTGGCACAGAAGCGGGGTTTGCAAACCTCAACCAATAGCAGTACGTGACATCGCTGACGCTGTGCATACTCGCACATTTGATTCACCGGAAAATGTACGTTCTTGATCTCGCAAACGCCTGCGCGTCCTGCCCAGTGCTCACTCCACAAATACAGATTGGCGTCCGCAGTGGATACCCCACTCTTGCTGGCATGTCGACCCACCAGCTCGAACCACTCTGATGCCACCCGCTTATTGGGAATTGCAAAGCGCGCCGAAAATCGATCAAAGCGACGTCGCGCTTGATGAGAACATCATCACAGGTAAGTCTACTTCCTCTCCGATGACAAGAGTTTCCCCTGGCGCTGTGGGGGCTGACACACCTGGGTACACTCCAGTACTGCCATCAAAGGCGAAAACTCAAATGTATCTGGGTCATGGCGCGAGCAATTGAAATACAGCAGCCCGTGCAGTTGTCGATATAGGTGTGAAAGAAGAGTCCTACTTTGTTAAACTGAGTTGTGGTACTGGACCGCCACTGCGCTATGCTCAACGCGATGTAGTCACAAGGCGACGCGACTGGTAGCGAATTGTTCCACGGTGAGTTCGAGAGGAGAAAGATGATCAACGATCTTGTCCCAGACTTTTCATCGAAACCTCTCTCGTAGGGTAAACGCAAAAACTGTGCAGTTGAACCAGCACTACATGTACGACTCGAATGTCATCGGCATCAGGTCTTCCAACTCCTATTGCCACGCGTAGTGCTCGTTGTTCAGCCACAATGGCCTCTCGTCACTGACACCACCATCTGCATCGTACCAAAGAAGGCTAGCAATACTGTCGTTCTTCCGTTCTACAACCTCGAAATCTAGACCACTTTGAGCAAGTATGTCTAGAGCCAAGGGTGTAGGATCCCAAAGCTTGACGACATCGAGTTTCCATTCTTTGGCTTCGGCCTGGGCTGCCTGCAAAACCACCCGAAGGTATACTGCCTGCTGTTCGTACATGGCAGGCTCAGGCAGTTTCGCTGCATCAGAAGATAGCCTTGTCGCAGTCTCATCGACCTCAACCACTAGCCGAAGTATGTATAGCACGTTGCGTGACGTGCTTGCGTCAGGATGACTGTAGTATCGATGCGTCCAAAGTGCCCAGACTTGGCTGCCGGACGGGCCAGCTATCGCTCCTTTCGCATTGGGTATCCGGTCAAAGAGGTGTTTCGTCGCAAACACCTCTTTGGACATGTGCCAGAGCATATGGTCAAGATCTGGGATGATCGTAAAACGAGTTTTCGCCTCTCGCGTGGGTATTGCCATGCGGGACCGAACCAAGTCTTCGTCCCGCTTGCACAAATCTCCTATCTCTTCCTCGATAACTGGTGTAGCCGGTGAAGGCCACGCGATGGCGCAGGGTTGCAGCTCGATGTGCGAATTGGTGGAGTTTGGGAGCCAGCCTAGTTTCGCGTAGAATTCTTTCCCAATGTCGGAATACAGCGTGCTTCCTACACATGGATATCCTTCTGCTTGCCACGTATGCATAGTCTTCGCCAATTCACGCATCATGCGCGCCGCATACCCTCGGCCGCGGTACTCGCTCGGGGAGAAGACGCTGGCCACGCCATGCACAATGTTCTCGCTGATAGCGCCGCTGGTATCGCTCTTGAGTGAGCGTTTGGAGAAGCTCTCGCAAGAGCATAGTATGCGACGCTCGCCTGGAGCTTGATCCTGGTGGACCAAGATCCATGTTGTCATGCCTCCATCGCAGGCTAAAGGGACCGTGGCAAGCCATTGACCTTCTTTCAAGTATTGTGCGAGTGAAAGCGAGTCTTTCCACTCGATGGAGGTATTGATCGAGATCGTCGTGCACTCTTCTTCGGTAGGGTGCCGAAGGACAAGGTGGGGGCTATCGGAAGGCGGCAAGTCTTCTCTCGAGAGGTCGGCCATGGTAGTGGCTCGTTCGTGCGGGTGTGAAATATGCAGTCAGGTAGCTTAGTATGGTATACTGGACATGCGCTTGCAATGTAGGAGGGATGGCTTGGATGCGGGGCGCGCAGGAACATCCATGTCCAATGCCATACTTATGGCCGAGAGCGACTATGGTCGAATAATTGATTCGGTCCTGTCAAGTATTCCATGCTGAAGCAGCACCTAGCGTCGCAGGATGAAGCGGGACTGATGATTCTGGTGCGCGTATGGGGCTTGCGAGGGAAAGAGACAGCTTGGGAGCACCTGGGCGATTTGAGACGCGTGATTGACGCGCTAGATAAGCACGTGATCATCGTCATTGTCAGGGTCTCGCACGTGTGTCCTGTCGCGTGCGGCACGGGCACGCACGGCACGAGGACACCCACGAGTGCAGTCTTCTCCTCAACGACACACTCCCTCCCTAAGCACCATATCATGCGGTCACTATGTGCGTTGCCTGCAAAAGTACTCAGACAGCATTGCTCCTGTCAAGACGCCCCCACCCAGCACCTTCGCATAGAAAGCACACATCGGCGCGCAAGACTGCGCAACGGCAACGTTCGCATTGATAGAGGTCCTGGGGGTATTGGACGCATTAGAAGCATTTTTTTGCACCATACATGCTAACGTATAGCATCTAGTCAACCCTGTCGTTATCTTCACTTGCTAGTCGGTCCCTCTTGTACCTGCACCCCCAACCGACGACCGCAGTATACCCCGTTCATGCGCTCCTCACCGCAATAGCACATACCCGGTTACCTACACCAGCAGCGCAACCCGGCGCGAGTCAGTACACTATCCTAGACCCTTGTTGTCGTCCACGAGCTTCCATTCGTTCTATCGAGGCCAACTCTTAGCAGCGCGGTTATACACATACCAAGTGCTCAAACTTGTACATACGACCATAGGATCTTGACCCCAGCGCTTCCCGTTCGCTCAGCGGTACTTAAGCAAGATACCGGCCCGCTAGTAGCTTCGTGGGTGACCAGAAGCGAATCCCGGCTGTTGTATGTTTTTGCCAGGTACATCCTCTTTTTTTGCCTTTTCTTTGTACCCGACACGTTATCAATCCAACGATCGCAGAGAGGTATAGCAGCAATCAAGATTGTACAAGACTTTATCACATTGCCAATCGCGCAAGCCCAAGATGTATCAGGCAGAAGATGTGAAGACTCTTTTTGATACCGCGATTCACAACCACGAACTAGAGCTATTTGAGCAGGTCAGGATCAACGCCCAAGGCAACGCGAAGAGACGCGACGATGCACGAGTCATAGCCATTGCGATAAAACAAAACTCGATACCAGCTCTTCGCTACCTAATCAAACACGGCGTCAGCATCAAGCACATCGACATTTCTGGTAAAGAGGTTCAAATCTCCACTCTCAAGTTCCTGCTCGCTCATGGCTGGGACATAAACTGGGCAGGAGAACCTCGATCTTGGCAGAGCCCCTTCATGTGGTCTTGTATCCATGACCGCGTCAAGCTTTTGTGGTGCTTAAAGCACGGCGCAAAACTTGCTACGCCCGGAGAACCACCGTACAAGAGGCCCATACTCCAAAAGGTCGCGGAGACGGGTGACATTGAAACGTTTGAGCTTTTGCGCTCCAGAAAGGCTCCCTTGGGACCCTGTACACTCCATAGGGCCATACTCATGGCGGCGTTGGGTCACGAGGGGATGGACGACCCCGAAAAAGACGAGGAATGGCAACGGCGGAGCCGGGCGCGTTATGTCCAACGTATGGCAATGGTGCGCCATCTAGTTGATACCGTGGGCTTGGATGTGAACAAGCTAGACTTTCCGCGCGATACGAAATGGTTGCAAGGAGAAATGGGGACGCCACTAGAATACATCGTTGGCGTCGGCAGACCAGACACAGATGCACGCGAGCTGACATGGTTTCTACTCGACCGCGGCGCGGATCCGGATGCTGCACTCGCTGAGGCGAGAAAATATGACCATCCAACCTTTATAGAGTGGGTGGAGGGTTGGGAGGCACAAGGAGGTCGTGAGGAGTTGGAGCGATTCAAGGAGAAGAAGAGAAACGAGCACCCGTGCTCTGTGCAATGAGTGTGGTAATTTCAGTAGTGCCATGAACTGATCTTCGATTGTATCGATCAGTTGCGAATCTACTCTCATTCTAGGTGGTGCTATTTCATAACAGAAGATGCCACTATCGCACCAGCAACCTCGCTAAAGGTCTTCGCTCGCTGCAACCTGTTGCGCCGTCGCACTGTGATGATGCCGGCAGCCCACAGCTCCCTGGCCTTATCCATCTTGAGGAAGTCAATCTCTTCTTGTTGTACTTTGTACTCCTTGCGAATCTTGTCTACCCATTCCTTGCGAGAGACTAGCTGCTTGTCCAAAGTCATCATGTCGGCGGGTATGGTACGCCAATTCTCCCAATCAAATGGCGGTAGATAGAGCATCTTGTGGTTCTTATCACAGACGAGAAGGTGTAGGTCGTCATTCAGAAGTTTACTGTAACATCCTGGGCAAAACTGGACGCAAAGACAATGCTTGCACACCCAACAGTCAGATACTATGTCCGTCCATTCTGTCCCGCAGGCTCCATCACAACTGTATCCCGTGAGGTACGCCTTAGTCGTGGTGGGGATCGATGTAGATGCGGCTGGCCCGTCTGCCGAACTCTGATCAGAGGTTGTTGGCACACCATCCGTGTTGGATGATTCAGAGAGAGGTTGTTGGAGCTCTCCAGTGCCTGTTGCGTCTGCCTCCGCCCCCGTCGCTGGAGATAGCTGATACGGCGCAATCGCTTGCCACGCTGCAATGGCATCAGCATCTTTGTCGAGGACATTTAATGTCGGAGCGAGCTTCGAGAACCGCATAGTAAACGAAGCATCGTCTATAGTTTCAGGCCACTTGTCAAAGACACTGCAAAGTCGAGTTTGTACCCGCTTGGAAGCTAGACAATGGTTCTGTTTGACGCAGTAAAATCTGGCTAAACAAAGGCCAGGGTCGAAGTGACCTTGACGAAGGTAACAGATGATCGTCGTGTTCGAATTGACGAGCTTTTCCAGTTGCCCAAGGTAACCTTCGGAAGGGTTTGGAGAAACTGCGACAACTTCCGCAACTGCCAGGTCGAGGAGTGTGGGAGCCAGCTTGCGGGTCGCTTTACGTGCTGTTCTATACAATGCTGGACCCTCGTCAAATTTCAGGACTATGTCCTCCCAGCATTGTATACTCTGATGTTGATCATTACGCGACTTGCGCCCATGGAATTTGAGAACAGCTTGGAAGTACTGCAACTCTTTGGTTGCTTCGGTAGACATGTCCATTCCCGGCTCGTCCACAGTAGTTTGATCTAGCGCCTTGTAATCGATGGCCTCCTGGTACAGAGAGATGATCTCTTCCACGGTCCCAACATGCTTTGCAGCCAGAATAATGTATGGATGGAGTACATCTTGTTGTGATGCTCTTCGCAACCAGTAAGTCGAGCCACGACCCTTGGCTGTCGCATCGTTCCAGCTGCGAATGAGATCAATGATAGATTGGAAGCTCTTCGTATCGGTCCAGATTTTAAAGAGTCCCAAAAGAGCGTGAAAGTGGAGCCAGCTCACACCGGATGCTTCACTGATGTTCTGGTTCAAAAGTTCCCGGTAAGATTGCACGGCCATGTTGTAGTCATGACACTCCCGATAACAGTATCCTTCCCTCTTGAGCGTATCCCAGTAGGCCCCCTTGTACGTATCGTCCGTCTCAAGGAACATCTCGCTGAGCGATTTGAAGTTCTGTATGTAACCAAGTGCCGTACGGTAGTCCTTTTGGTTCTCATGGGCCTTTGCCAGATTGAAAAACAGTCCCCAATTCGTCGGAGAGTGTTGCTCCGCCTTTTTCAACGCAACAGTGGCCTCCTTGTAGTGTTGGAAGACGATATATGTAGCTCCCACACGGTAATTCCAGGTGGAGCTATCGATGTCGACATTTTTGTGCGCCTTTACCCAGCAGATGTACTCCTCGACGTCTGCATTTGAAGGCGGATTCCATTCTTCAAAAGGTCTGTCTGGGTTAGATATCTGTTTTTGTTGTTAGCCAAGCTGTGACATAGTTCAGAGACACTTGCCTTAGCTACAATTCCCCATGAGATCCAAAGATAATCTTCGTTTAGCGTTCCAACTGAGCAGCTAAACCAAACTGTGGCTAGCCGCGCTGCGATGCGCTCGAGAACGGAGTATTTGCTCGCGGCGTCTGAAATTACAGACTTGACCCACTCACTCTTCTCTTCATTTTTCGCGTAGCCTTTGGCCACTTGCGAATTCTGCAACAGCGTCACCAAGGGGTCGATGAACTCGTCCTTATAGAGGAAGTCGTACTTCATCGTGACCAAATTCTTGTTGGTGAACCATGTATCGATCATGTTGGAATCGTAAAGCAAGTCAATCAGCTTGCTTCCAATACTGGTCATGAACTCCCTTCCCGGCTCGAAATCATCGAGCACCTTGACTAGGGTCTTGACGTACTCGTAGAACCACATCGAAGCATACTCGCGCATTACTTCGAGGTTTTTGTCTTTCCGACTGTCGAGCAAAGCATCGACGCACAAGTTGATGATGGTAACACACAGGGCGTTTTCGTCGTCGAGGTGAATGTGTACCTTTTGTGCCATGGCTTCAAAGAAACTATCGAACCCGAATCTGTCGTAATCCATTGTCGCACATGCGTTTTTTATAAACCGCTGACAAAGGCTGACTTCGCCTTCACTGATCTTTTCGTCACGTAACCGGGAGAGTGCAGATTCGGTTCCTGAGGAATCGCTCGTCGACAAGATCTCCCTGAGTCCGTCCTTGAATCTCACTCTATTCTCCTCGTCAATCATGAGCACAGGGGAGTACGTAGTAGTGATCTGATCGGCGAGGAGAAATTCCTCGCCAATCGTAAAGAAAAGAACACTCTTGAGCAGCTCGATTGATGGTGGGTAGATGCATCCTGCAACCCACACAAGAAGTCCATTGAGCACCCGAGCCTGACGTGAATTCAGAAGAGCGTCCAGAGTCTTGATCCTGTTTCTTTGGACGGTGTTCATGTCAGCGCCCGTATTACTGATAACGTCCTGGACCTTCCCTTTCGTGTCGCAAGCGTTGATCTCCGTGATCTTGGCCTCCAGATTCCTATAGTTTCCGCGGATGCCTTCGAGCAGAAGCTCGATGTTCGAGTCATCAAGGATAGCTTTCAGGCCGGGTTTGTTCTTGCAAACCTCCTCAATCCTAGCTCTTGTGACAGCTCTTAAATCGCTCGCGTTTGGCAGCAAGTGTGAAGCTATGTCTGAGTCGTTGCCTGCACGTCTCATGGATTCTTCAGAGCTTCTACGTTTCCCAAGAAGGATAAGGTCGACACTTTTGCTTGCTGGTGAGACCTCAGAAAGCGCATCCTCGTTTCCTGATACGAAGAGACGTAGAGTGACCCCATTTGACTTGACTGAAGAGGAAGCTTGACCTGCGATAGCGGATATCATCTTCTCTGCAGTGCCCAGTTGACCACGGCTATCGAAGCCGTCAATGCATATGAAGTACGTCCCTTTCATGACACGCTGCAATCCCCAAACCAGCTTGTTCCATCGATCTTCAGCTCGCGCAATGCTTGCGAGTCGCGCACATTGCTCTACTACTGCTTGAGCATATCCAACATCTGCGTCTGCAAATTGGTATATGATGGATCCAATGCACCGTTCGAGAGAATCGTCTTTGTCGTCTCCGTAGTAATAGTACGCGAGGAAAGCCGGATTTGGTCCGCGCGAAACTTGACATTTCTTCTCGAGATAGGAAATGACGTAGTTGAAGAGATGTGTTTTACCGAAGCCAGAGTCTGCCTTCAGAAAGAGCAGATTTTTGTCGTGCTGATCCAGATCAGCCCACTGGATGAACGCAGGCTCGTCACGACTGAGCCACCCCCCAGTGCCTTCCACATGTGTTTTGCAGAGCTCGCTGTGCCGCTTGCTCCAAGTCTCCCAATTCCCTGGGTTCTTTAGACCCAAGCTGTTTGCTATCTTGAGCAGATTCTCTTTCTGTTGTTCCTTGCTAACTCGTCCGTCGAGCGTCGTCTTCATCTGCTGGGTAACGCTTAGAATCTGATCGCTGACTTTGTATACCGTCTGAAAATGGTCGTTTATCTCAACATGATAGCGAGCTCTCTCCTCATCCGATGCGACAAGGTGCCTTGCAAGTCCTTTGACATCCAACAGTATATCATCGATCTCGGCTCTGGTAAACTCCTGAATTTGATCCTCCATCAGTTTGAGCGATTCTGCCACATCATCGGAGTTGAAAAGAACGATTCCAGCCCATTTGTTCCACCGCTCTTTCTTGCTGGTAGCTAGCTTGTATGAAGAACGAAGCACGCCCAAGAACTGAGAGAGAATGTTGTATGCTGGCCTTCGCAGAACACGTGGTAGGTGGGTCTCGCCTTCGCCGACCTTCTGCTCCATGAAATTCACCAGGCGACGAATAAAAGCCGATGAGCGTTCCATCAGAATGACGAACCCGTCCATCATACCGTTAATGCTCCGAGCTGCTTGAACGACGAAACTGATAGCATTCCAGCATTGCGCAGCGGGCCCGAAGACCACACCCGCCACTTGTGCGACCATGCAACCAAACTGTTCAAGACAATTCCCGATATTGTTCAAAACGATTCTGGCGTTTTGATGGCTTTTCGTCGAAGACTCTCTTATATCGGCGTCAATCTGTAGCTGGAAGCTGTTGAAGGTCGTGTTTGCATCCAGCTTCCTTTTGGTGGTATCCTCATACTGTCGCACAACTTGTGGCCAAACTTCGCTGAGATCTTCATCTTCATCGAAGACCGGATCTGGAGGGGCCGGCTCGTCTTTCTTGTGCCCGAATTTCATGTTGTAGTATACACAAAATCGGTCGGAAGTCTCAGAATGTTGACGCTAAGTCCTTAGGAGGTGCATCGCAAGGGTTGAGTAGGGCATCCGCCAGTTTTATCGTCGCATAGGCGCTCTCACGGCTGTTACTACCGCGCATGTCCTGAGAGCAGGATTACCATGCCAGCCCCCAAAACTCAGCCGTGCCCTGTCACACCTCGTGTGCTTGATTGGCTTGTAAGAGCCATTTTCTCATCCCGATCCATGTATGTTGACCGGTCCGGACAGCTTTGCTCTGCTCGTGATACTACTGGACACGCGCAGCTGCATGATATAGGGTGTTGCATGACTGCAGCATTGTGGCTGCTGGTGTTGCCTCCGCGGTTTTTGCAGCTGAATGGCGTCCCATCGCACGGTGTGTCAAGATCGAAGGGTGCACGTAGGATCCAGGGCATCGCAGGTATCGAGCGCGAGATGGAGTTGCGGTGGATATACAATGAGATGCGATGCTAGAATGCTATAAGGATCAGTGGGCGCGACTTTACTCCAGAGGCGCGCAATAGGTAGCGTGAGCCGAGGCGCGCCCGCGGGCGATTGCTGACTCAGCTCTGGCCCCACCCATCACTCCTTAGACCAATTCATCACCACTGTCAGGCACTTCAACATTGAAACCCTCTCAATGTGCTTACTTTTATGCCGCATATGGTGTCATGCCGCGCAAGACTATCTAATGACACCACTGTGTGTTCATCCTGCCTACCAATCAAGTTCTCTTTCGTTGACACGGGGTCCTCTTGGACAACGCGCTGCGTTGTCATCTAACGCGTCAAGCTCGTCTACCTCACTTTCATGCAGGACTGTTCCTGTTGCAATGAGCGCGCAAGGCTGTGCTACCTTCACTGAATGGCACGCGGCGTAGCGGGGTGCTCACCAGATGTCCAGCTTGGTAACGTGACTGATTTCATTGTATCTGTCGTTCATTTTGTCTCGTCTTCATACCTAACCTAATCCTGCAATCCAGTCAAGCGTGATGATGGTGAGCGCTCGTCTGTGTTGGCGATGGAATTGTTGTGAGTGCCATGGTGACAACAGTGTGGATAGTGACATCGGGTGTGCATACTGCAAATGTCGTTGAGGATGCCACGATTGCAGGGTCTGCGATAACAACTGTAGGGCAAGAAATACTACCTAGGTACCGGATGCTTCATGCCGATGGCAGCACAGTTACTATCAACAGTCCCAAGGTCGTCGTCCGCATGGCTGATCAGGTCGTGCCTTCCTCGTCGTAGGCCTACCCCACCAACAAGCTTCCTCTCAACGCCCAGCACACAATCGCAACTGTCTCTCCTCTTTCACTCCTTTGCGCAAGGATACCGCCTGTTTGACCGACCTGCCTCTGGGCCCAGACCGTTCGCTGAACTCCTCCTTCACCTCCAGTATACCCAACTCACTCGTGCGGTTTCGAATCACTTTTCGCCATGGATACCTGTTCTTCTATATTGTTGCCTTATGGCCTTAGCAGCCAGTATCAAGACATATTGAGAGGGATGAAAGATACGTCGGTGCGATGTGGACTGCCGCAATACCGCACTGCAACGCTGCTAGAAATTTCGAGGCTCAATCCGTTTGATCCGCACCAGTCTCTACCCTCCCTCGGTCGTACACCCAACCCCCGTCAAACCATTCGACAGCGCAAGCCTGAATATTCTAGTCAGAAGGAGGATAATATGGGGTTCCAGCGCAACATTAAGAAAATCAATATGGGCCCGGCAACAGGCAAAGAAAAACGCGGTCGGGCGAAGCGAAAACCTCAAATTTCGGTGCGCAAGCTCCCCAAAGCTGGCTCCAAGTTTAGTCCCGGCTTCCGAGTGGGCGCATCGCAGGACTTGCCAATCACGCTCGATAGCGACGATGACGCGCCGACAAGCACTCCCCAGCGGTAATTCGAGACAAACAGCTCTCAAAATACGCCTGTTCAACGCTAACATCGGTAGTCTTGACCCTCGTCGAACACATGTCTCACTCGCCGAGCCCAACCTACGAGGTTTCCGCTACGATGGCACGAGAGAGAGCCCGCGCGCGTTACCGGATACGTCTCATGCACCCATAGGCTTCGTCCTACGACGCTCCTCACCAACATGTAGCGGGCCCGCAAAGAATCAATCGCATGCTGTACCCCAAGAAACACTACAACGAGATTCTGATGGCGATGAAGAAGCGGCACCGATCCGGAAGCCTGCCACGCGACGCACACGCCAACCTCGCGCGCTCGATGGATGCCGGAAAGAGAGCAAGCCTGGGACTATCAACATGAGTCTTATGGATATCGACGACTTTGGTCTGAGAAGTAAGGTCGCTCAGCTAATGGCTGTAGCACCCGCGCTACCCATTGTGGATCTCTACCACCTCATCATGGACAGCGAAGGCGACCTACCATTGGCGAAGAAACAAGCCATCAGGATGAGTGAAGCCCCACCGGCACGATATTCACCAGGATTGGATGCAGACGGTGAGGTCATGGTCAAGATAGATCCGAACGATCCCGGTTTTGAGTGGGACGACGATGAACCGCAGCCGGAGTCAGCCGCCACAATCGCATCGAGACCACAGCCCAAGTCGAAAAACAAAGCTACAAAGTCAAAGAGTCTACACCATCATTCAAAACCTTCTAAAAGCGCGAAGTCAGGTGCAAAACACTGTTCAAACACGAGCGCCAAACGAATGAAGTCGTCTTCCATGAACCCTACACACGCAAGAGAGACCAGCAGCGACCGCGAATTCATCGTCCCCGATAATACTGTCCATTACGATCTCAATTCTGATATCTCTAATGGCTCTGATGAGTTTCTCGGTGTTGACGTACGCAGTAGACGTGCAGACAGGGACGTTGAGATATTGGATTGCGAGGATCCATTAGATCTGGATATAGACATGCAGCCGCGCTTTGTATACAACGCCAGACTGTTGGGTAAAAGGGCTAGAGCTTGAAGGATGTAAATATTGGTTGGATTGTATCTGACGACATGTAGATCGAGCGGTATCAATGCCCGGCGTCTGGTGTATCTGGGAGAAATGACAGGTTGATTTCGGGTTGCTACATCATTCAGTCAAGGCATGCACGCTCCCGCGCATCGTCGTACAAATTCTAGAGCATTGCAACCATCTGCTAGCTACGCGATATTCAATCATACTTTGTGGCATGAGCGCCTTGTTCTGCGATTGCTCCATTCAATGCCTGCTCGCTCTTGCTGTGATCTGTCAAACGCGCGCTGAGACATTGAAGTCTCACAGGTAAGACAACAAACAGCAAAATTAGCTTCAGCGCAAACAACATAGATAAACGCCATGTTCTCTCACCTTTGGCAGCACGCCCTCAGTCATCTCGGTTTTCGACAGGAGATTGACAGTGTATTATCCTTCCCATCCACCACATCTCCATCCTCTACCCAATCATCCTTCTCACTTCAAGTTCCCGTCATGGCAGTCGACTGCCCCCAGTTCTCGTTCACGAAACCAAAACGTCTTCCAAAGCAACGATGCCGCCCATCCAATGCCGCTTTCCGGGTTGCAGCGGCACAACTCGATGTTATCAATCGCAAAGCGGGAGGGATTCGTATACCAGCGATCGTAGATTTGAGTGATGGAGAGACCAGCCCGGAGGTAGAATACGAGATGGTGGAATATGCTGTGCAGTAAGTCGAACGCGCGAGAATGACTAGACACATCATCTGACGAACGCATATAGGAACGCACTGGCAAAAGAACGTGGTCTTCCAAGTGGCGACACGTTCGAACGCAAGACCCCAATACGTACGAGTAGTTCCAAGTCACCAATCTCGCAACGAAAGCGACGTTTTGTTATAGACTCGGATGACGAGGATAGCAGTGAGTTAATATGCTTCACATTCAGGCTCATTTACTCACTTTGCCTAGCATCTTCAACGCCATCTCCATCATCTAGCCAGAAAGAGCGATCAATACGTTCGGTCAGTCGCAACACAAAGCGACGAAGAGACAGCTTCCTATCTGACTCCGACGCTCCCGAGGATCAACCAGTCAGAAAAGCGAAGAAGCCGCGACAAGACCTGGCGGCCGAGCTGGACGATCTGGATATCGAAATGGAAGGTTGGAGTGCTGCTGAAGAGACACCTAGGAGACAGCGGGGAAGAAGGTAGCCGCTAAGGTAAACGGGCAGCGAGCGTGAGGTACGCTGATACTGTTTGTCGATATTGGATACATCGCTTCGTCTCAAGTCTATAGCGGTGGGGTACATACGATATACTCCGGCTCAGCGGGAGAAGATTGCATGTCACATCACGAGCGAATAGCGATTGAAAGGCGAAGCAGAACCAAGTTAGGTATAGCCACGAACTTATCTTTACATTTACCCATCATCTAGACAAATATACCAATCCCATCATCGATCATCAAACAACATGGTTCCAAACTACTTGCTAAGTTTCCTCTCCAAGTCCGCCACACATACCCACCCATGACCTAATGATGGCACATTTTCACAACAACAAACCCCAGAACAAGCATGCCCACAAGTATACCACCGATAATGCCGACTACAGCTATAGTCGACAAGCCGCCTTCGGCTCCAGAGCTGCTGGACTTCACTTTGAGGTCCAGAGTGGAAGTAGGCTCAGCAGCGATGTCTGCCTTGGAGATCTCGTGGAGAATGTCCGAGATGGAAGATGGAGAGGCCATGGGTGTGTAGGGCGTCGTCGGGGTGACGATGGTGGCTAGCGCGGAGAGCTGCGTGACAAGCGGCATAGCGGGGGGTGAGTAGGTGGAGGTGGCGAAGGGCGCGAGGGCGCTAGGGACGTTTAATGGGGCCATGGTGTTGTGTTGGTTTGTTGAATTCGGGATGTGAGTTGGAAGTCCGGCTTCGAGACTGTCGTGAAATGCGATGTAGATGGAGCTTGGTGATGGAAGGTAGTAAGCAGATATGGAAGATCTTTTGTAGAACGAGTGCCGATGTGGTGTGAATGATCGTGAGACATGATGCTTTCACAATAGCTGTTTAGAGTGTTCTGGTAGAATTTCGTAAGTTGACAATGTTGCGAATTGTGATGATGCTGTGGACTACTTACTGCTGGTCTCTCCGAGCCGAAACAAATGGACGGCACGTGATCATGCCCGTCATCCTGCGATCATCTCCATGATACTCGTGTTGAATCCTTCAAGATCAAACTCATCTGTAAGCAGGATGCCTCAGTGCCCTTGGTGGCGCGCGCATGTTCGCGTTGTTTACGCTCGACCCAATGAACTGCTGCATCTGCGTCTCCACCTCTTTAGCAGCTAAGCGCTCTTGCTCTTGTTGCGCTGCGAGAAGCTTTTTGTTCTTGTACCGCGTCACCGTTTGTTGATAGAATACCCAGCATATGAACGAGAGGAAGAAAGGCGCAAAGACACACATGGGAATGAACCATGGCAAAGGAATGGGGCCGATCATGCGCTGTTCGGCGTTGATGGGCTCAGCGCGGTGTGAGAACTTGAGTACAGGCATGTTGTGCGATGAACAGAGGAAAACTGTATGTATGTAATTTGGATTGGGAAGTTGCGACAGAAAGAATGTAGGTGGATTGTAGAATGAGTGTGTAGGTAAAGAACGAATGGCGCAGGTAAGAATGGCAGGTAGGGACGGGGACCTTCACGATAGTTAAACCACACCAAGCACAGCCCCCAGCAAATGAAAGAAGTGAAACCCACCCCCAAAATAACCCCGAAAACCAACGATATTGCCGGCGCAAGAACCAATCTCACTGTGTCAAGTAACGAGGTCTCGGAATTAAAAAAGCAAAATTGCAGGATATGCATGCGAAACTCTAAACTCCACTAGCTGGAAACGCGTCTGACAGCTGTACCTGTTTGATCTTCAACAACCACACCACATTGTCGCCATTCGACCGGACTGACTACCTGAGGTTTTGGCGATGCATTGTGGGCGAATGTAGCGGTGATACGTCGCTGTAATCTCGCGTGCGGTTATAATCGTGGGGTGGGCCGTTTGCACTCAACGGCGAAACTGGCTGACCGGCTGGGTACTCCGGATTACGGGCGAGCGCCGGCAGATCGCTTACAGGACGGGACTTTGGATTCGAGCTGCGCGTGGGTATAAAGCTGGGTAGTTGCAGCCGGTATTCAGCATTATCACCAGTTCCATGCGTCGCGACTGACTGGAAGTCATCAGCGGATATTCCTCGATCTACGTGATCTCGGGTCGTATATGTACCTTTTTCGTCGAAGCCGTCTTGCCAATTCTGGGCGCGAGCAAGATCAACCGGATCCATACCGTATCCCTCCGAAATTGGTATGTCAGCATAATGGGTGGTGGAAGGTGAGCCGTCACGGCGGCGTCGTCGCCCACGGACGACCTCTTTTTCATAATATGGATAGCGACGGCCACTATCACCCTTTTCCGGATCATGGGTCGTGGGAATGAGACCCCTACAGTACTTGATCGCTAGGAAGCCAACGAGGACGACACCGAGGATCAGTATGATGACACCGATGATGTGGCCTGGGTTTTTCGCGAAGCGGGGACCGTCTCGCTTGGCGAAGGCTGAATGAAGATCAGACGATGCATCTGCTATTGGCATTATGGGATCAGTCATCTCGAAAGGTGTGCCGCGATCGAAAGCGACTCCGGTAGCTTTAGGCAGCAGGGTGGACACGGTGCCGTAATCGACGTACGATGGTGGCGCATCAATCGGCGGTGCTACATTTGGATTCCAAGGATTGTTCGAGACTGCCTTTAGGAAGGAAGACGCACTTGCGTGAGCACTGGCGGTTGAGGTCGTCTTCGTACAAGCTGTGCAATGGTGGCAGTCGATGCTAGAAACGGGAACGTCCGAAGAGAAGAATGTGCCTCCATTGGATGCAGTGGAAGTAGACGTAGGGACAGCCGACGAGTAGAAGGTACCAGGATCTACTGCTGTTGTAGTACTTGTAGTGGTAACAGTAGTCGTAGAGACGTCCGAAGAAAAGAACGCTCCTCTGTCTGAAGCAGTAGACATCGATGCAGCGACATCCGATGAGTAGAATACACCAGAATCGACTGCAGTCGAAGTGGTAACAGAAGACGAAGTCATCGTACCTGAAGAAGCAGTTCCTTGCGCAGGGTTAGGCCAAGTAAAAGCTGCCATAGTATTGTTTTGTGACATGTTGGATGTTGGACGAGGAATGTTGATGATTCTGTCTTGTTACGTCTGGTCGTAGTTGGGATGAACGAGGACCTGGGAAGATTGCGGAAGATCATTTGTAAACAGTAGCTCTAATCGCGGTGTCCGTACAGATCCCGCACCATATGGTGATTATCACTGGATATTAGGCCTGTGAGCTCACAGTGTTGGGTTCGATGACGCTGAGCGCTAGTCACATTAACGGCGACATTCTAAAAGGCATACTCCAACACATTGTAGGCTCTCGGATTTCTGCAATTGTAAAGGCTCAGCATAGCTGGCGCACAATGCCCGAAGAAGTAGAGTCTAGAGTCTGTTCCTCCCCTACTCCAAGTATTAGCACACTGCTAAGAAAGCACACGAACATAGTAGCAACCTTCTCATACCTAAGCGCAGATCAACTTCAGACATGGCGTCTCCGTACACCGTTCCTTACTCTAGTGGCCTCACTCTTGCGGCTACTAACACCACCGATGCTTCGTCACTACAGAACAATATGACCTCCGTCTATCCCAGGCCCCTACACCCACCAAACACTTCAAGCGCCGAATACCGTATCTGGCTCGGCTTTTTCATCTTCGGTACCATTTCCGCTGCGATGATGGTCATAATGATGCTCTGGCTGTGTGCGTTATCATCTGGGGTCGGTCGTTTGGCTCGTAGAAAGCGAGAGGAGAAAGAAGAGCAGAAAAGCTTAGCAAGTGAATATGAGATGCATGAGAGGGTTCGGGAGCCGGAACGCGCTTTCAGGAGGGGTAGACAAGATGGAGATAGAGAGACGGGAAATTAAGCTGAAAAATTCCATCATTCGATCTTGCTGTTGAGATGAAGCGTAGGATGTTGTAGTGCATGGTGTAATTCATGGATGCGACTGGTTTGTTGTACTGTGACATGTGACAAGCACTCGGTTGAGACATTCCGTTGCTCCGAGTGACGTCGTTGTGAAGGTGCAGTATAACGTCGCCTTTTCCCAAGTGAATGTCAGTCGTGAGGCTTCCAGAGTATCGGCAGTCCATGATTTAGCGTTAACCGAGGGTGCATGAGAATGCAGGGCTATTGCGGGTGGGATGCCATGACGGAGGCGGAATGGACCGGTTTGGCGCACGAAGACATCCCGCGGCCGGTGGAGCTTTCTTTTTCTGTATCCGAGCTTTGCGCAACCCTCCCGCCGCGACCACCCACCTCGACGACCTGCTACCACCACCGTGTAGCTCCAATTGGGTCGTGACAACATTGAAATACCCTCACCATGTTGGCTGCTCGCTCCTTCGCCGCCCCTGCGCGGCAATGCATGCGCCAGGCTACCCGCGCACGATGGGCGCCCGCGCTGTCCCAGGTGAGCTCCCGCGGGACACTCGATTCTTGCGCCTCAAGACAATGGGTGTATAGGAAGAGAAAAATAGGCTTGAACTCTACTAACACATGTAGAAGTCCGCCCGCACTTACGCCTCCGAGGTCGCCAAGTTCCACGGACAGAAGGGCAGCGACGGCAAGTACTCCGTCACTCTAATCGAGGGTGATGGTATCGGCCCCGAGATTGCGCAGTCGGTCAAGGACATCTACTCGGCCGCCAACGTCCCAATCAAGTGGGAGTCGGTCGACGTGACCCCGCGCCTGAACGAGGACGGCAAGACGGTCATCCCCGACGAGTCCATCGCCAGCGTCAAGAAGAACTTGGTCGCCCTCAAGGGCCCCCTCGCGACGCCCATCGGCAAGGGCCACGTCTCGCTCAACCTTACTCTCCGCCGTACCTTCAACCTCTTCGCCAACGTCCGCCCCTGCAGATCCATCGCCGGCTACAAGACGCCCTACGACGACGTCGACACTGTCCTGATCCGCGAGAACACCGAGGGAGAATACTCTGGCATCGAGCACATTGTCGTAGATGGCGTTGTTCAGAGCATCAAGCTCATCACCCGCGAGGCCTCTGAGCGCGTCCTGCGATACGCCTTCCAGCACGCCCGCGACATTGGCAGGAAGAAGGTCCGCGCTGTGCACAAGGCCACCATCATGAAAATGTCCGACGGTCTTTTCCTCAGCACCGCCCGCGAAATCTCCAAGGAGTTCCCCGACATTGAGTTTGACGCCGAGTTGCTGGACAACACCTGCCTGAAGATGGTTACCGACCCTGTTCCCTACAACGACAAGGTCCTCGTCATGCCCAACTTGTACGGAGACATTCTCTCCGACATGTGCGCTGGTCTCATCGGTGGTCTTGGTCTTACTCCCTCCGGCAACATCGGTGACAACTGCTCCATTTTCGAGGCTGTCCACGGTTCCGCGCCTGACATTGCTGGCAAGCAGCTCGCTAACCCCACTGCGCTTCTTCTCAGCTCCATCATGATGCTGCGACACATGGGTCTCACCCAGGAGGCCGCCAACATTGAGCAGGCCATCTTCAAGGTCCTTGCTGAGGGCAAGGTAAGCAGCCGATACTCTTCTTGGATACGATCAATGCTAACAATGTTACAGACCATCACCGGTGACCTTGGTGGCAAGGCCAAGACCTTCGAGTACGCCGACGCCGTCATCAAGGCCCTGAAGTAGACTAGGTTATGGATTTGACGAGCATTGAACGACCGAATGGTAGCGATTGCATACTGCGGATATGTATTAGGCCTTGTACTATAGCTGCCATCTAGCTAGATATACCTC